ATCTATCATATCCGATTACGCCATAATATCAGTATTTTCACCCTATTACGCATTGATTTCTGTCTGCAAAAATGTGTTCTCGGCGCCTCTGTGTCTACAAACATTCGTAAATTTAAGAAATTCATATTCTAACTTTCTTCGTGTTTTCGGGGTTTTATATTTTATATATATTTTTTTCGTATTATATAGATATATATTTTTTTCATTTGTGTGTGTATTTTTGCTGCTTTCCTGTTGTTGTTGTTGTTGTTTTTCTCTTCCTTTTTATTTCTGTGATTTCCTTTTTTTTTTTAACTTCTTTGTGTTGGTTTAATTACCGCTTGCCATTTCATTTCTGTATTTTCTCTCCAATTCCTAATTTCCTCTCTCTTTTCCCTTTTATATTTTCTGTCTCCGCTGACACCTTATTATCTTCTCCATTTCCTTCTCTTTACCTTCCTCTCCCTCCCTCCTCCTCCCTTCTCCTCCCTCTCCCTCTCCCTCTGAGTCCCTCCCTCTCCTCTCCCTCTCTCTCTCCCTCCCTCTCCCTCGCCCTCTCCCTCTCCCTCCTCTCTCCCTCTCCCTCTTCCTCTCCCTCCCTCTCCCTCTCCTCTCCTCTCCCTCTCCTCTCCTCTCCCTCTCCCTTTCCCTCCCTCTCCCTCTTCCTCTCCCTCCCTCCCTCCTCCTCCTCCCTTCTCCTCCCTCTCCCTCTCTCTCTCTCTCCCTCTCTCCCTATCACATCTATCATATCCGATTACGCCATAATATCAGTATTTTCACCCTATTACGCATTGATTTCTGTCTGCAAAAATGTGTTCTCGGCGCCTCTGTGTCTACAAACATTCGTAATTTAAGAAATTCATATTCTAACTTTCTTCGTGTTTTCGGGGTTTTTATATTTTATATATATTTTTTTTCGTATTATATAGATATATATTTTTTTTCGTATTATATAGATATATATTTTTTTCATTTGTGTGTGTATTTTTGATGCTTTCCTGTTGTTGTTGTTGTTGTTGTTGTTGTTGTTGTTGTTGTTGTTGTTGTTGTTGTTGTTGTTGTTGTTGTTGTTGTTGTTGTTGTTGTTGTTGTTGTTGTTGTTGTTGTTGTTGTTGTTGTTGTTGTTGTTGTTGTTGTTGTTGTTGTTGTTGTTGTTGTTGTTGTTGTTTTTCTGAGGAGGAAGAAGAGTAATAGGAGGAAAAGGAAGAGGAAGAGAAGGAGAAGGGAAATCAGCGGGGGGGGGGGGGAGGGGAGAGTAGGAAGACGAGGCAAACGGAGGAGGAGGAGGAAGAGGAGGAAGGTAGTCACCGGGAAGAGGCTAGTGGAAACTAACACGACAAACCCCAGCATGTTATTACTCTTTTCGCCACAAACAGACAGGGGAATGAAGTTTATTATGCATGAGTGAAGGTGAGAGTGTGCAGCGAGGGGGGAGGGGGTTATCAAGCTGAGAGACAGACAAACAGATAAACAAGTGGGCAGAGAGACGGATGGAGAAACAGAAAAGTAGGGAGGTAGAGAGACAGATAGATAGATAGATAGGCAGACAGACAGAAAGACAGATAGATAGCAAGATAGTTGGACAGATAAAAAGACAAGCATACAGATAGATAGACAGACAGACAGAAGGATAGACAGACAGACAGACAGACAGGCATTTAGACAGATAGGCAGACAGACTGACTTGTAGGTAGATAGAAAGGCAGCCTAACAGATAGACGTACAAACATATAGATTGATAGATAAATAGGCGGGCAAAGGCATAAAATAACATATAACAAGACAGACAAACAGTCAGATAGACAGACAGACAAACAGACGGATTGACAGACAGACAGACAAATAAACAAACAAATAGACAGACAGACTGACAAATAGACAGATAGTTTCATAGACAGACAGACAAATAGAAAGACATACAGATAAACAGACGAACAGATAGACAGACAGAAAGACATGGAGATAAACAGACAGACAGACTGACTTACAGATATATAGACAGGCAGACAACACAGAGACAAATCAGACACAGACACAAACATACAAACAAACAAATGGGTCTCGCTGAAAGGCTGAAATGCAAAATCCAGTTCCTGCAACATTGCATCATTGAATCTGAATACCTTGGCACATCGACTCGAGGATAATCCGGCGGTAAGCAGTAAAAGTCATCTTCTGGATGGGGGGGGGGAAGGGGGAAAGGAAGGGGGGAGAGGGAGGGGAAGAGGGAAGGGAAGGGGGGAGGGCAGGGGAAGGAGGGGAGGGGATGGGAGAAGGGAAGAGAAGGGGAAGGGAAGGGGAGGAGGAGGGAGGGAGGGGGGGAGAGAAGCGAACGCGAGGAAGTAAGGCGGCGGGGGGTGGGGGGGGGGGGTGGCACCGATACCTAGAAAGCCTGTCATGTAACTCCTTCACAACCCCTCCCCCCCATCCCCCCCTCTTTATTAGTCTCCAGGTGTCTTGGCTGAACGAAGTCTGGGAAATGTTGCTGATCTAAAATTATATCATTTCTCTGCCAGGTTAT